ACAATAACCATAAGACCACAAGATATTGGAGCAGAATTAGGCTATTTGCCCCATCGAGTCTGCCCCACCATTTGATCATGGTTGATATGTTCTTCAACCTCATTTTCCCTCCTTCTGCCTTATCCTGTAACCATTGATCCCCTTACCAATCTATCTCTGTCATGAATACACTCAATGACTTGGCCTGTACAGCCCTCCATGGCAATGAGTTCCACAGAATCACCACCCTCCGGCCAAAGAAATTTCTCCTCATCTCAGTCCTAAAGGGTCATCCTTTCACTCTGAGGCTGTGCTCATCCTTAATACTGGAAGAGCCCAGCACATCAGTGCAAAGCTTAAGGTTGAAGCATTCACAACAATCTTCAGTCAAAAGCCCCAAGTGACTGATCCATATCAGCCTCCGCCAGTCGTCCCCAACATCACAGATGCGAGTCTTCAGCCAACTTAGTTCACTTGTCTGATATCATGAAGTAGCTGGAGCTACTGGATCCTGTCTCAACCATGGGCCCTCTCAAAATTCTGACCATAGTGCTGGAGGCTTGTGGTCCAGAACTTGCTGCTTCCCAAGCCAAGCTGTTCCAGTGCAGTTACATCACAGGTGTCTACAGAACAATGTGGAACGTTGCCCTGGTATGTTCTGTACATTCTTAAAAAAAAACCCAACCCAGCCAATTACTGTCCCATCAGCCTGCTCTGAATCATCACTATAGTTATGCAAGATGCCATCAACAAGCAGCACATGCTGCTCAGTTTGCATTCCACCATGACCACTCAGCTCCTGACTTCATTACAGCCTTGGTTCATCCATTGGAAAATGACCTGAATTCCAGAGTGACAGCCCTTGATATCAGTGTTGCAGTTAATTTGTTTGGCATGAAGCATCCCAAGTAATATCTGGAATCAAAGGGAATCAGGCAGCAAACTCTCTGCTTCTTGAAATCAAACCTGTGTGATGATACGATGGCTTTAAGAAATGCATTTTGTCCTGTTTGTTTTTGAAGAGGTTTTGAGCCAGAAGTGCTGGGTTCTCATATCTAAGCCAATAAACAGCTTGTGAGGCCCTGGGATGTTTTTAAGAAGTAGAACCGTAGAAGCAGCATGTATGGATGGGTTCAGGCTCCCACAGAATCAGGATTTTAGTTTATTTTTTTCGGTTGTTGGGGTCCTGATGAAGGGTGTAAACCTGAAATGTTGACTTTCCTGCTCCTCTGAAGGTGCTTGACCTGCTATGTTCCTCCAGCTTCACATTGTATTGATTCTGACTCTAGCATCTGCAGTTCTTGCTACCTCCTTGGTGTTTTGAAGTTGGGTGTGGAGGCTGTTTCATCTCTATCAGCTACAGTAAAAAAGCCTGCACACTCTCTCTGCCAGAAGTTTCTCCTGGACTGGAGAAACATTGCAAGAGAGAGAATCTATTTTTCTGAATCTGCCTTTGCCAAGTGTGTATATTTTTGGTTGGCTACTATATTGGAATAGATGCTGTTTTGCAGTTAAATAATTTTGTTGTTCTGTTAAGTTTTCTAATAGAGTTAAAGTTTTATACCAATTTTTCTTTCCAATGTTTGTATTTTAACTGGGTGTAGGAGTTAAGTGTGTTTTGCATAAAGCCAAGCAGTTTGACCAACTGAATTATATCTGGAACACAGAATCCTGCAGTCGCCTTTTAAATAAGATAAACGTTAGAGTCTAGGCTATCTCCTTGATGTATTTGAAAGGTCTTTGGTCTGGTCCATTAAAAAAAATTGGAGGCTTGTCCGAGATGTAATTCATCACACTTGATACATCATTGTCACACCTGGATCAATCCTTGGCCCCTCTGTTCTGTTAACTGCAGATTGTGAATAAGGTGTTTTTTGCTGATGCCACCCATCAGTTGCTACATGTGCACTGACAATAACCACACATCCACACAATCACTAACACCAGAGGTTTCAATGTCCAAAACAATTTTTTGGCTTCACCTCATCCCTGATCATCCGCTGCTAAAACTCTTGTTCATTTCTGTGTTTTAGACCTGATGATCCAATACATTTCTGATCAGTCTTTCATATTCATCCTATCCACACCTAGAATCATGAGATTATTCAAAACTCTACCGCCTGTGTCTCACACCAAGCCCCGTTCACCTATCACTCCTGTGCTCACTGACTGACTTTGGTTCTCGGGTAAGGAAAGCCTCTGAAATTCAAATCCTTTGTTATCAACTTCCTCTTTGGCTTTGTCCATCCTTATTTTTGTCATTAACAATCATAGGACCCTCTGAAAGACATACCCTCCTCGCTTTCTGTCCTCTTTAGTCTCATTCATTATAATTATTCCACCAGTGGTGGCCATGACTTTGTGAAGCTCTCAAATTCCTGTACGAAACCTCTCCATATCTGTCTCCCAATTAAAGATGCTAGTTAAAAATGGGCTGTCTGATTAAGCATCCTTTCTAATATCACCCACTCTGGCTTGGTGTCAAATGTTTTTTCATGAAGCACTTAGCATGTTATATAAATTCAAGCTTGTCACTACCATGACATCAGTTTACGGACAGTGAAATTTCACAAACAGTAACCCGGTTTCTGGCTGATTAATCCTGTTTGTTTGGCGTTGTTGGATAAAGTGCTGCAGGAACACTCTCCTGTGGACATGGCATAAACTGAGGTCTCCTGAACTGAGTGGAGCTGATTGAGCTATTGGTCCTGCAATGAACCTTGATAGAACTGCTGTCTGGAATTTTCCTCTTCATTCACTGATGCCAGCTGAAGTTGACTCTGTAGTAAAACAGGTCATGCTGAATCGCACTCCTGGGAACCATAATCTTGGGAACAAATTTGCAATTTTGATTCTGCTATAAAGAAGAAACAAGTACTTGTGTTCATTTTGCATCATTCACACCCTCAGAATATTCCAAAATGTTTCACTCAATGATGAATTTTGGAAGGATGAATGAGGAGAAGCAGAATAAACTGAATAGTACACTATTTAAATAGGGTGACTTGTATCAGTGTTAGCGCAATTCTTTGAACGTTACAGGGCAAGTTGATCAAGAAGTTTTTCTGAATAATCTAATAATCCTTAGCCTTATTAAAGGATACAGGATATACATAAGCAGATTCACTACAAATGACTGATTTATTGTGAACACCAGCCTTTAGAAAGGTGTCAAGGCCTGGGAGAGTATGCGGGGACAATTTCCCAGAATTGTATCAGCAGAGAGGGCTATCAATTCAGTGCAGAAATTGGAGAAGCTGGCATTGTTCTCTTCAGAGCAGAGGGGTTGAAATGTTTGAAGGATTTCTTTTTCTACTCAGGGAAAGATTTTTAGGAAGATTGATGTCCACAGAAAGAATCATTGCCAATGGTTGGCGGAGGAGCCACCCATGCTCCCTCCTTCAGGCCTGCTGTCTCTCCCTATTGGTTCGGAGCTACCTTCAATTATCTGAGCCCTTTTGTGAGGTAAAGCATGCACAGTGTCAGTTTGGAGACATGATCTCCAAAGGGCAGTCGCAATCGTCAGCAGTCTGTATTTTGCTGAATCAGGTTGATTGGAGAGCGCGATGTTCCTCCAGCCTCTAGTTTTTCTACCTTGGTTCAAACTCAGGCAGAGGAATGTGGAGTGGAGTTTACAGTTTGTTGCAGAAGATGGTTTCTGTCTTTTCGGTATTTAAATGGAGGACCATTCTGCTTATTTCGTATCGGATGGCACAAGTCAGGATGATGTGTCTGATTCAATTTTAACCCCACTGCGAAGCCTCTTCTAAGGATGCCAGCCTTTTTGCTCCTATGATGCTGCTTGGCCTGCTGTGTTCATCCAGCTCTGCACCATGATGTGTGAAGGGTCTGTTTCCACGCTTTTCATATACAACTGCTATCCTGGTCTTCCTTCATGGTGGTGTTTGAGGATTTGCGAGACTCTGTCAAAGTCTGGCCCCTTTGTTGGTATATAACATTCCTCTCCTTTCCCACTGCCTCTCCATCTCCTCTCATTTAGTCACTGAACCAGTTTGGTTTATACACCAAGTCAGAGAGTCATATGGTGCAGAAGAGGCCCTTCGGCCCATCGAGTTCGCACTGACATAACTACCACTAAAGGAGTGCTTAATTCCAATTTCCTTCACTTTATTCATACTGGGGATAAACTGTACACATGTTATGTGTGTGAACGAGGATTCAGACAATCGTTTGACCAGTCAAAACATTAATGTAGTCACATGGGAAAAACTGTGGAAATATGAAGTCTGGGAAGGGATTCAAACCCCATCCCAGTTAGAAATTCATCAGCGTAGCCATAGAGGAGTCAGGCTGTTCTCCTGTTCCCATATATATCCTCTGTTATGATATTTCGAGTGTTCATCCAAATGTTTTTTAAAGGTTGTATGTTTTCAGGCCTCCACTACCTTATCAGACAGCTCATTCCAGATTCCCACCACCCTCTGAGTGAAAATGTTTCTTTTTTTTTTCTGAAATCCTCTCTGAATCTCCTACTCTTTACCCTGAAACTATGTCCCTTCGTGATTGATCTCATAACTAAGGGGAAACAGATGGTCCCTACTCACCCTGTACATTTCCTTTTTATAATTTTATGCATCTCAATCATGCACCACTCCACCTTTTTCTTAAGAGAACATGTCAAGCCTTTTTTAGTCACTCCTTAAAGTCCATCGCATGCAACCTCCTAATGCCCCTGCTCTGTACCCCCTCTAGTTCTATAACATCCTTACTGAAGTGAGGTGACCAGAACTATACACAGTACTCCAGCTATGGCCTAACTAATGCTCTATACAGTTCCAGCATTACATTCTTGCTGTATTACCCCCATGACATGACTGATGAAAGCAAGTGTCCCTCTGCTGCCTTAACTATCCCATTCACATGCTATGAAAATGGTAGCTTTCACAGTTACTTTGCCTTTAGTGCCACTTCCACAAATTACCAGATTTATTCAGCTCATTTTCACAACCTGCATTTGTGGTTTTTGTCTTTTTATTACACTGTAAATCAATTTCACACAGGCTATTAGAAGAGGACATTTTGCAGTTCTGAAACTGGAACCAAATATCACATCCGGATCTAATAGAGAACCCTAATTTATTGTAACCTCAACATCAGTGGACTGTGAACATGGAAGGAAGCAGTACCATTCCCACTAGGGATAAACCGTACACGTGTTATGTGTGTGGACAAGGATTCAGACAATCGTTTGACCAGTCCAAACATAAATGCAGTCACACTGGGAAAAAACCATGGAAATGTGAGGACTGTGGAAAGGGTTTCAAATCCCCATCCCAGTTGGAAATTCATCGGCGCAGCCATACAGGAGTCAGGCCGTTTCCCTGTTCCCAATGTGGAAAGGGATTCACTCAGTTATCCAACCTGCTGACACACCAGCGAGTTCACACTGGGGAGAGACCATTCCACTGCTCCAAGTGTGAGAAGGGATTCGCTACAACGTTTGAATTGATGAGACATCAGCAAGTTCACACTGATGAGAGAGCTTTTAAATGCACAGACTGTGGGAAGTGCTACAAAAGGTCTGGGGAACTGATGTCCCATCAACGTGTTCACACAGATGAGAGACCATTCAGATGTTCTCACTGTGGGACTGGGTTCAGGCGATCATCTCAGCTCACATTACACCAGCGAATTCACACTGGGGAGAAGCCGTTCACATGCCCTGAGTGTGGGAAGGGATTCTCTCGCTCTTCCACCCTAGTCGCACACCAGCGAGTTCACTCTGAGGAGAGACCTTTTAAGTGTCCTAACTGCGCGAAGTGCTTTAAAAGTTCCAGGGAGCTAATGCGCCATCAAAATGTTCACACTGACAAAAGGAATTTTAGATGTCCAGACTGTGGGAAATGCTATAAAAATTCCGGGGATCTGACATCACATCGACGTGCTCACACTGACGAGAGACCATTTAAGTGCTCTCACTGCGGGACTGGGTTCAGGCGATCATCGCAGCTCACTGAACACCAGCGAATTCACACTGGGGAGAGACCATTCACCTGCTCCAAGTGTGACAAGGGATTCTCTACCTTATCTGAATTGAAGAGACATCAGCGAGTTCACACTGATGAGAGACCTTTTAAGTGCCCAGAGTGTGGGAAGTGTTTTAAGAGGTCTGGAGACCTGAGGTCCCACCAACGTGTTCACATCATTGAAAGACCATTCACGTGCTGTCATTGTGGGACTGACTTCAGGCGATCGTCTGACCTCACTGTACACAAGCAACTTCATACCAAGGAAAGACTGTCCACATCTATTCAGTGTGGGAAGTCACTCAGCCCATCATCCCTTTAAAGAGACCTGGGTTTTCATAGTGGGGAGAAGGCATTCACAAAGTTGTGCCATTTAAATACACACCAGGGATAGACCATTCAACTGTTATGAATGTGGAAAGGAACTCACTCAGCGTTCCAACCTCCTGAGACACAAGTGAATCCACAAGTAACTGCAGTGAATGGATTTTGTTTGTTCATTTGGAGATGTCTAGGATTAGAATTGATAAGGTGAGGTATCGGGCTAATGTGAAGAAAATTCATAGTATATTGCTGTTGATTGCAAACTTAAGTTTTAAAATTGAGAATTGATGTAAAAGCTGTGTTGTCTGTACTTGTCGATGTATTTCAATTTTGTGTAAAAGAAGGGATGTCATCATTTTCAGTTTCATTGATGATGTTTTCTCTCTGGAGCTAGTATAACCTGTAGTTTGTTTTCTCTAATTTGTACTGGAAAAATAATCTTTTAAAACCCTTGAGGTTAACAGTTTATTGCATTAAGAAAAATGGTTGAAGAGAAAAATACTGTAGTTGCCAAGAATCTAGCAACAATATAAGTCATTGAGAACAGTCATATGTACAAGTCTATTGAGAGAGAGAAATGGCCTGTATAAACAGATATGCTGTTAGTACCTGTCTCCAAAGCAGTCAGAGCTGTGGGAAAACATGCTGAGTTGTTTAAGGACAAAACAAACTGACGGTCAGTGACTGTGTGTCTTTTTTGTCAGTGGAAACTGGACAGTGATGGCTTAAGTGCTCAGCAATCTGAAAAGAAATTTTAAAATGGTGTAAAAGTCTGTCAGAAGATGATTGTATGGTAAGGCCATGTGTTTGATTAAAGTATTCCGAAGTCAGTGAGAAATCAATTGTAGCTGTGGGCAATGAACATTTGGTGTGCACCATTCAGTGATGTTTGAATGTCTGTAAGGTTGCTATGAGGGTAAAAACTATTCTTGCTGTCATTTAGAGTCATACAGCATGGAAACAGACCCTTTGGTCCAACTTGTCCATGCTGACCAGATGTCCTAATCTGACGTAGTCCCATTTGCCAGAATTTGGCCCATATCCCTCTATTCATATACCCATCCAGAAGCCTTTTAAATGTTGTAATTGTATTTGCCTCTATCACTTCCTCTGGCAGCTTGTTCTATACATGCACCACCCTCTTTGGGTGAAAAAGTTACCCCCTCAGGTCCTTTTTTTTTTAAAATCTTTCCCTTCTCACCTGAAATGTAGACCTGTTCTTTTTTGGACCCCCCCCCCCCCCCCCCCCCCCCCACCACTCTCGGGGAGGAAAAAAAACCTTGGCTATTCAATCTATCCATGCCCCTCATGATTTTATACACCTCTATAAAGTCACCCCTCAGCATCCGATACTCCAGAGAAAATAGTGCCAGCCTCTTCAGCCTCTCCCGAAAACTCAAACTCAAACCCTCTAGTCATGGCAACATCCTTCTAAATATTTTGTGCAAACTCTCAAGTTTAACAACATCTTTGTCACAGAAGGACGATCAGAATTGTACACAATATTCTAAAGCTGGCCTCACTAATGTCCCGTACAGCCGCAACCTTTCGTCCCAACTCCTAAACTCACTGTTCTGACCAATGAAGGTAAGCAGGCCAAATATCTTCTTCACATTTTGTCTAGCTGCGACTCTGCTTTCAAGGAACTATGCACTGGCACCCCTAGGTCTCTTAGTTCGGCAACACTCCATGAACTGGATAAGTCCTATCCTGGTTTGCCTTACCAAAATACAACACCTTACGTTTGTCTAAGGTAAACTCCATTTGCCATTTCTCAGCCCATTGGCAGCTATAAATAATGAAGAAACGTTATCTAAATGGTGAAGTTCTAGAGCGCTGAGATGCAGAGAAATCTGGGTGTCCAAAAGCACAAATCGCAGAAGGTTAATCTGTGTATGTAAGTAATCAGGAGGATTGATAGAGTGTCCTATTTTATTCTGAGTGGAATTGAATGCAAGAGTAGGGAGGTCATTCTTGAATTATGCAGGATGTTGGTAAGACTGCATATGGAGTGCCGTATACAGTACTGGCCACCGTACTTGCGTTAATGTTTTGGAAGTGGAGTAGGTTTACTAGACTAATACTTGGAATGAACAGATTGCCTTAGGAGGAAGGTCTAGACGGGCTAAGCATGTATCCTATACAGCTCAAAAGAATCAGAGATGACTTTATTGAAGCACATAGGATCCTGAGGGGACTTGACCAGGTGCAGGTGGAAAAGATGTTTCCTCTAGTTGGAGAATCTAGAATAAGCGGTCATCATTTAAAAATATGAGGTTGCTCATTTAAGACAGAGTTGAGGAAATTTCTTCTGAGGGTGACCGCTTCTGATTGATGTTGGGGGCAGCAGACCCACCAGGTACCACATCCACCATCACAGGATTAGAATCCATTTGGACCACTTGTTCTCCGGAGGTGGATGCACAAGCAAACTATCTGCTTGTGAGCAAACGTCCAGCCCTAAATAGTCTTAATTTCTAAAACCATAACTTCCTTCTGTAGAATTAATGATTACAAGAGCGATAAAATGTCATAAATAGTCACTGATAAAAAAAAAGAATAATTTTGCGTAAAATTTATCTGCCAGGTTTTAGGTAAAATTTAAGGAAAAATTTCTCAGTACAGACATCTCTCACTTGCATTCATAGCAAGTGTATTGTTACAGTATAATTTGCACTTGGAAAGATGCTGGAGAACTGGAGGACAGCCAGTGAGGTCCCTTTTGATTCCTTGCTGAGTTCTTGAATAAATCAGGAAACTCCAGGCCAGTCATTCTAATCTCAGCATTAGGGAAACTATTTGAAGAAAATTCTGAAGGACAGAATCAATCTGCATTTGGTGGGTCTGGCACAAAAGTAAAACAGGAAAAATGGCTAGTGAATGGGCAGTACCATTCTGCAAAATGTGCTGGGGAAACTGCTGGGATTAAAAGATGATAAATCTTCAGGGCCCTACAGTCTACATTCCCGACTTCATAAGGAAGTGGCTCTAGAAATTGTGGATGCACTGCTGAACATTCTGCTCTGAAGCTGGTGAGTTACACTGACCAGGCCTGTGGTGTACCCAACAGGTAAACCTTTGAGTGCTTCACCCTATTCAGGGATACAATTGCCTCAATAAACAACTGGAAGTGGTCACCTGCCTCATCAGCCTGGACCAGGAGAAGGTCTTTGTCAGAATATGTCATCTACATGACGAGTGTGTTCTCCAAAATGAGCTTCGGGGAGGAAATCTGTAATTGGATACAACTGCTCTGCAAGAAACATTAGTCGTCCAGTTTCAATCAAGGGGTGGGAAACCAAAGCTTTATGATCAAATCGGAAGTGAGGCAGGCCTTCTTCTGTACTGCTGTGAGTTGCAGAGAAATCTGGAGTCCAAGTGCATAAATCACAGAAGGTTAATATGTAGGTATAGTAAGAAATCAGGAAGGCTAATAGTGTTATGTTTTATTGTGAGGGGAACTGAATGCAAGAGTAGGGAGGTTATGCTCCAGTTATACAGGATGTTGGTAAGACTGCATTTGGAGTGCTGTGTATAGTACTGTTCACCATATCTATGTTAATGTGTTGGAAGCAGAGTAGGTTTACTTGACTGATACTTGGAATGAGTGGATTGCCTTATGAGGAAAGGCTAGGCTGGCAGTATCCTGAAGTACCAGCACTCTCATCAGCTTCTAAAATGGAATACCGGTTAGCGTGTGGGACCCCTGAAGTACCCACGTGTTCTTTCTGGACTCTCTGGGATCACCCATTCCCTTCTTTCCTTTAATACCTGAGCTGCTGTATGATTGACCTTTCTAAATGTGCCATCCACATAACTTTCAGCCTCGTGGATACACTACAGTGTCTCCAACCACTGCTCGAGCTCCGAAACCCAGAGCTCCAGTTTCTGCAGTTGGGAGTACTTTTTCTGCACATGTGGTCATCTCAACTTGCAGCATCCAGGACTCCCCCACATGTGACAAGCCTGGCTGGCCTCTCCTAACATCGCTTAAATTAGCAATTAACACCTTTTAGACTAGATTTATTAGACTTGATTTATTAGACTTACTTTGTTCGACTTCCTACTCTGCCTCTAAAGTTATGAAAAAGTTAACTGTAACTAAGTTTCCACTGCTCTAAATCTGTAAAATAAGAAAGGATTAAACAGTAATTGTCAGATGGCCAGTAGTCACAAATCTTTTTGCCATTTTGAAGCTATGACATCTTCAGATTCTCGTGGTGTTTGCTCAGTTTACCTGTTACTACTTCCATCCCCGCATCCTGGTGGCTGTGGCTGCTACCACTCCAAGCCAAGCACCCTGCGAAGACCAGGCCCGAATCTGTACCATGCCAGACCCACAGTATTTTGAATAATTTTATGTTGTGTAACATAGTTCATGGTTTTTATTTCCTGTGTGTGCAACAAACTTTTTGACTTTATTTTGTTAAAGGTTCAATGGCAGTCTCTTTGTTGTTGTTATTATATTCAGAGACTGACCACCACAGTAAACACACAGCAAGAATAAAACTTTATAGTCCAGCAAGTCAGGTTTCGCTCTGGCATCTGATTTGTCCAGTTTCATCATCAGCTGAGATAATAAAGTGGAGGCTCTTTTTGTAGTGAAATTTGCTGAATTTAAGACTGGGGTCTGTGAACTTTTGAAATGAAATCCTGGAGGTGCTGAGCATAAAGAGAAAACAGAAGTGGTTGCGAACTGTATTCCACAGATTTGAATTTCAACCTACCTGTTGGTTTCTAAGATTTTCTGGGAGTAGGAAATTGTAACTGTGAATTATACGAAATCTTTGTCTAAGGTTGAACTGAGAGAGCTAGCAAATAAACTGAACATTGAAATAAAAGTTAGATATTGTCAGGAGGAGACTGTTGAAGTGCCTCACCAACATTTGGAATTAAAAGGGGGAATTCTAAAATTGGTGTGTCATTGACAGAATTTATCTAAGATTCTGTTCAAATTTATTTTAAATCAGAAAAAAGGAAATGAGAAAGAAAAAAAATAAATAAATTGAACGAGTAGAGAATTAAAAGAAATTAGCAATGGCGAAGAACTAGAGGAAAAAGAAAAGCGAGCTGGAAATAAACAAAGCTTGAAATAAAGTTAGGGTAGAATTGTTCAGAATGGAGACAACTTGTCCATCAAGCTGCGTTAACCTTTCACTTCCAATGTCTTGTTGATGAGGCAGAACAGCAGCACAAAGTGAGAAAAGGAAGCAAACCCTGTCCTTTGTACCCACTACTCCATAGGACCTCCTGCCCCATGTGTCCAAAAAGTCTGTGGCTCTGTTAACTACATGAAGACTCGGGGCAGAAACTCATAACCCTGAGTAGATTTCACTTTTTGAACCAAAGGTTTGCTGACCACAATGAGGGGCAATGTGCAGCAGGGAGCATGTCTTGTCATCCTGGGCCAG